CCATCAATGACACAGACCAGCCACGTCGCCAAAGTGTGCACAGCCCACGAGAGAGGCACAGAGAGAGAGATCAGACCACACCCAGCGTACGAAAGGATTAGTATCTAGTACATGCATTAGCCCAACCCCAAGTAGAAACACCGGCGCTGACGATCCCGGACCCGACGATCTGGCACTGAGCATGGGAAGAGATGCAATGTAACAACGTTCCTCTTTCCCCGTCATCCATTATCCCCCTGATTAACCAGGCTAGCTGCGGGAAACCGTTAGTGTTTTTGGTCTGTGTGTGTGTGAAGCCCGAGGGAATGGGTTACCTTTCAAGACATACATGCATGTGGCAGATAGTTTAGTTGGATAGTTAGATGGTGCGGTTGCTGATAAGGGTGTAGTACTTCATGATGTGTGGTTGCACATACGATATCCCCTTTTCCCATCAGTCCTCTATCTATCTTGCTCCTCTGCGCTAGTGCCCATCACCGTTAGTTTTCTATTTTCGGCTGGAGGTGGTACTGCTGCTGCTGCTGCTGCTGCTGCTGATGAAGCTGTGGTGTGTTTCTTTTCTTTTCTTTTCTTCTATATGTTTGGCTGCAGATCAGGGTTTGGATTGCGTGGCGTGGATGGGCAGGGCACACAAACAGGCGAGATGGGCTGTGTCATTCGAGGGGTATGTGATACTTCTACAATTAGTACTGTGAGGGGTAATCTCTTTCAGTTGCATTAGCGCAGAAGAAGTTTGAGCGTTGCCTTTGCCTTACCTTTACCTTGCAGTAGGCTGATCCGGGCTGTTGGGTCTTTTTTCTGTGTGTCTTGTTTGGTCTGTGGGGGTCTAGATGAGAGGAAGAGGGGAGGTGACGAATGTGCGTGAGTGAGTGAATGGTGGGAGGTTATGCGCTAGAAGGGGGGTGTACTACTACTACTACTACTTCTATTAGTATATAAGATGTGTTTGCTAACCGCTTGTATGGACATTGAGTGTTTTGTGACAGCGTCAGTGTTTCTTCTATATATTTACTGCTGTATCTCCCTTTCAACACGTCTACACATATTCTATCATAAAGCCTTATCGAGCAAAGAATCACCATCATGTCTTCCAACCGATTGACTGAGCAAAACCGCTTCATCCACGATCAGACCATCATCAATCATGTCAGTCTATGACCCTTCACCACCATTATATGACACCTCTAATATAAGTATCCAGGACTCCAAGCAGACCCTCAACCAAACCCAAGACAATACCCAAAAGCAGAACCAGATACCATCCTGGCTCTCAACACTCATATGCTCTGAACGAATGCACAAGCTCAACGCTCAATTGGCTCTCGACATCTCCAGCAATAACACTGCCAATCCCACAAAAGACACAGACATCGACATCGATGCAGACATCCAACACATCACCAATGTCCTCTCATCGCTTCCACCCCACGATCCTCTCTTCTCTCGCTTCAAGCTATTGGAAGATATCCTCAGTACACAGGTACACAACCGCCAGGAAACCGATGACTCAAACCCCATCCCTCTAGAACGCTTCCTCACGCCCGGATGCAGTGATCCGTACTACATTGTGGAGAGGGCGCTAGAGGAGCTAGGCATCCCGTTTGGGAGTCTGGAGAGTGGTGAGGTCAGAAGAAACATGGCGAGGGAGAACGTTGAAGCTGCGAGGGAGGCTGCGATGGGCATGGGGGCGAATAGTGTGTGTGAGGGGAGGGTGGGTAGGACTATCTAGTCAGTTCTTCGGTCATGACTGGGTCAGGCGAACTGGTTTTGTTTCGTTTGTTATGTGGTTAGGGGATATGGCTTGCGCGGGCGAGTTAGGGTTTGTTATTCTGGGTAGATGGGTTTCTTTGCATGCGTACATGTACTCTGGGAGTATATAAATGATTGAATGAGATATACTTTGCTTTGCTGCGTGATATATTTGAATGGTAGTAGTATTACTAGATGTCAATGGTATTTGTGATAGTATTTGGAATTGGGTATATTATACTAAGGAAAGTCAGATCATGCATGTAGTATGCATGTATGCTATGCCATCACCACCACCACCATTCATCAATCAATCAATGAGTAGTCCCCACCACATTCCTCACACATAAAGAAAGTATAAAACAGAGCAGAACAAATATATAAATAACACCAAAACCAACAAAAGAAATTCAACAAATCTACCCCACCCCCTTCATAAAACACAAACCCATACTCCTCTTCCCCAATAAGAGAGGAAACAAACAAAGAAAGAAAGATGCTTATATCGGGGCCATTGCCTCCACAGCTCCCGTCCCCTTGAACACACCAGGTTTGGTAACCACGACTTCAACCGGGTACTTCCATTCCATGAATCTGGTCCAGCCTGTGCCATCATCCATTAGCAGATGGTCTTCACATTATCCCTCCCACACACCAAAACCAGAGAAAGTAGGGGTATACGTACTCCAATAAGCACACTTCCTACCCAAGTACTTCCCCACAAAAGGCACCAGCACCATCGTCAACAACAACTCTAATTGCTCGATGCTTTCGCGCCATTCTTCTTCGGCGTCCGAGTAGTCCGAGTCGAGGGAATCGAGATCCGATGCGGAGGTGGATTCGGAAGGGAGGGAGGCGACATCGTCATCTGAGGCGGAGGAGTAGTGTTTGTCTTGGGAGGAGACCATAAAGGCGGAGGTGCTGAGGGAAGCGGAGGGGGAGGGGGAGGCCATCTTTTGTGATTCTGGTTGGATCCGATGATATACTTGGGAGATTGTGGTGTATGCTAAAGAAGGAGAAGAGAGTAATCAAGCAGGGCCTGCCACCGCCTGACGAATGTTATGGCATAAAATAATATAATCAATCAAGAGGATGAAGCTATACACACACAGACACTAGCTCGTTCGGTGAACCTAGTTATGGTCTGATGTAATCCAGGGGAGAGACACCGACAGACAGAGATCTCACGTGCCAGGATCACAATACCGGACGGTAATGGCAATACAAACTTGACTCATTATAGTCACGTGCCAGGAGCCCGCGATAACAGCGATTCTTCGCCATCGAGTCAGCGCAACAACCAAACTTCGAGATTCAACCAGCTCAAACCACAATCCCTAGAGCAATTTCCGTCATCTCTCGCGAACCTAACAAGCAATCTATCGGAATATCTTGTCCTGGTGGGAAGTTGAGAAACGCTCATTCTCTTCGATAAACAAAAAACGGCCAGCCCAAATATGGCGGAGACTGTACGTCACACCCCCGTTTTCCCTTTACCGATCGGTTTCCCTCCCACATTTTCTTCATCACATTTCGCCGTGGGACCATCTCGACTCCCTCCGCTTTTGCTTTCTTGAAGCACCACCTCCACCCCCGTGTTCTTTTCCCTCTATATACCCATTACCTGTTGTGCAACGCTCGGACGCGATTTCTGCGGATCGAGCTTCACACTGGTTGACCTTTCTTTAGTGTGTTCCAGCGCTTCTTTTTTGGGTTTTCTGTTTCGCCCCTCCCGCTAACGTGTGTTTGGGCTGGTCCGGATTAGCAGGTTGAACCCGCTCCCCAAAAACAACGCAAGTCCGTCGCATTCAGTGAAGGCGCTGTCATTATGGATACCAACGGCGAAGTGACGGAGGCTGCTCCGGTTGTTGAGAAGCCGGTCGCTGAGACTGAGGGTATATCTATCTTTCTTCCCTTATCCTCTCGTGGATATCAAATCTGATACTGACCTCTACATTCTAAACCCACAGACAAGGCCGTCGACGAAGTTACCGAACTCTTCAAGGGTCTTTCGAAAAAGAAGAAGAGCAAGAAGCCCAAGGACACCGAGGGCGGTGATGACGAGACCCCCGCCGCCGACGGCGAGTTCGACCCCTCCGCTCTGAAGAAGAAGAAGAAGAAGCCGAAGAAGGTCGACGCTGGTGATTTCGAGGCCAAGCTCGCCGAGGCCGGTGTTGCAGAGAAGGACGGTGCCGTCGCCGAGGAGAAGGAAGAGGTCGTCCCCGAGGGAGACCACGAAGCTGGAACCGGTATCTGGGCTCACGACGCCGCGCAACCCATTCCCTACTCGCTGCTTGTGTCCCGATTCTTCTCCCTCATTCAGAGCCACCACCCCGATCTGTTGTCCAGCGGTACCAAGTCGTATAAGATCCCGCCGCCCCAGTGTCTGCGTGAAGGTAACCGTCGTACGATTTTCGCCAACATTGCCGATATCTGCAAGCGCATGAAGCGGTCCGATGATCACGTTATGCAGTTCTTGTTCGCCGAATTGGGTACCAGTGGTAGTGTCGACGGTAGCCGTCGTCTGGTTATCAAGGGTCGTTTCCAGCAGAAGCAGATTGAGAACGTCTTGAGAAGATACATTGGTATGTTCAACAGCCTGGTGCTATATCCCCATTAAAAAAACACCAACGATACTAATTCCCTGCAGTCGAATACGTCACTTGCAAGACCTGCCGCAGTCCCGACACCGAGCTCAACAAGGGTGAGAACCGTCTATACTTCGTCACCTGCAACTCTTGCGGTTCTCGTCGTTCCGTCGCCGCCATCAAGACTGGTTTCCGTGGACAGGTCGGCCGCAGAAAGAGACAGGGTTAAATGGGTTAATGGAATTTTTGTCAAAGGGGGAGAAGGATCCATGGAGGAAGCTACTACCATGGTGTCTTCGGTGGTATCTTCTGGCGCGGTTATGATATGTTTCCCCCGCCTTTTTCGTATACAAAGACTTCTTCTTTCTTTTTTTCCTTATCCTTTTTGCATTCCATCTCTTATGTGAACATGTGGATGATGAACGTTGTAGGATCGATCGATCCATTCTTGGCTTTCGATGGTTCGGTTTCAGGGTGCAAGGGATACAAAAAAAAAAAAAAGGGAAGAGGCGAGAGAGACGAAGTGAAGATTTCTTAGCATGGCATGATAGGTAAATGGATTGGTATGACCTTACTCCGATTTCACGTATGCTGGCGACATGGCAGATGAAGCAGAAATTGTGCTGGACTTTGCTTCCGCCTTGAAAAAGCGGTCGAGCCTGCCAGAGTCATGAAAAGCTACCCAAAAGAAGTGACAGAAGATATCCAATTTTGTGACTATGCAGAATGATGACTTCGTAGAAAGCACATGAGTAGATACAAATACGTGTCAGGTATATAGCAGGGTAATTATATCAAGCCAAAGCAGCCAGAAGAATAGAAAACCAAAAGGAAAAGACAGCTATTGTGGTAAGCCCACCAGATCATCAGGTCTGCGTGTTCAGCTTTTGGCGATACTGGTGCCCAGATGGGCAACGAAGGAGGACACGTTACGTGTCTGCATGTATACAGTGCCAGGGCCTGTAAATCTACATGCAAGACCCTCGCCTGCACTCCAGTTAGAAATGATACCACCCGAAGCAACTCGTTCAATCTTGTAGCGGCAGTTCCAGGCCACCAGGTGGCCGTTGTTCACGTAGTACGTCTCATCATCGGCGAGCTATAATCACATTAGTTTGGCTCATCACTCATTGCTCAGAGCTACGGGAGGCAAATCCACATACTTCTTTCTTGACAATTGCTCCGAAGCTCTGCATCCATACCAATCCGGAGCCGGTGAACTTGAACACGATAAAACCCTCGCCGGAGAACACACCCTTCATAAGACCTTGAGTTTTGAAGTTGATGTTAACGCCGACCGTACAAGCGAGAAAGGCGTCCTTTCCTACGGTCCACTCTGTATTGCCGTCCAGACGGATGATAGTGACATCTCCTAGAATAGATGGGGCAAGTAGGAGTTCACCAGGACCGGTGTATGTTGACCGGGCCAATTGGCCTCCTGCAAGGGCTTTCATCCACCCAAAAGAAAGCGAACCTCTGAGGGACATAGAAGGAGACATTGCGATCATGATTCCTGTCGTATGAGAGGTATTATTAGTATCTTGTAGTGTACATTAAGGTTATGTTCACATACCGGGTCTCGCCTGGATGGGACACCCCACCGCCAGCTGAATGGTCAAGAGAGTGTTTGTGTCTCGATGACTGACCCTGTAGCTGCCACCGTTGAAAGTCCCTACATCGTCCGCATATGTTGAGGTGGCTCCTACGAAGTGTTTTGGGGCAATTCGGCTGGCAAGAGTCGCATCTGTATGCGCTCGTGTGAGGCCTGGCCCTGGTGTAGGTGCTTGCTGGGCTTCCGATGAACTGAACATCGTCGCGTTGGCAGCGAATGACCCGCCGTTCTCAGCTGCATAGAAAGCCTTCTCATTTATCGGTGGGGTTGACGGGCCTTGTGGAGAAGAGATCGGTGAAACATCTGCCTTCTCATCATTTGAAGGTATAGGCTGCTGCGGAGGCGGGGGAAAGCTGAAGTTTGGAGGAATGTTTGGAGGGGTTTGGGATGGAGGCTGATATGCTACAGGACTTATTAGCTAGATGGCGCAAGATGTTTATCCGGGATACGTTACCGGCGCCATTCGGTGGAGCTACACGATGAGATGGTTAGCATTGAGCGGCAATGATGCATGAGAGGGTTAACCCACGAGGAAAAGTAGGCGCTTGGCTTGGAGGAGGTGGATAAACAACTTGTTCGGACATTGTTCCTTCAGTCAATTACTGCTCCTAGGTCTATAATAGCTATGAGTAACCGGCGCGGTATATTTCGCATTTACCGGAACTTTGAGAGCAATAAACGCTAATCAATACATATGTACGGAGAAACTTGCCTTCAATAGTCGATTGCTGCGAATCCTGGATCCTAGATAGGACGTGCGGGGTGAAGATGCCTCAAGTAAAAAGGAGACAGCGAAAGCAATTAGGAGAATTTTCTTAGCTGCAAAGTTCTAGAAGACAGCAATACAATAGTAGGTCGTTCAGCGCATTGACTGACGAAGAAAGAAGATCCAAGGCATTTAGAAAAAGCTGGAAGAACTGGGAGCAGAAACTCCCAGTTTAAATTATCGGGAGCAAGCATGGCTATCAACGTTGAGGAGATGGATCGGGAGGAGCTCTGGTCGCAAACCAAGCAGAGCTACTGCATGGTGATCGCCGTCGGCGCTTAGAGAAGGCCTCTGATAGCCTCGAGGTGTGACACTCGAGGGGGAAGCCGGCGCTAACAAATACCATTGGCTGGCGGACTAGTGCGTCGGAATAAGGCAAGACCCAATCCAAGGTGGAATCCAGAGAATGAATACGTCTCTGTCAGTGCGATGAGGGGAAGAACTGGGGGTGGAGAGCAGATTGGCGCTTGGCCCTCACAAAGCGCCTTCCCAACCTTTGTGTGGCTGTGAAGTAACATCACTTCGACAGCGCGATCGAGTACATCACGGAAACATATCAAAAACCAAAGCCTTATTCGTACATTGCAATGCCGTGGAGTCATTGATAGTGTATTGGTAGACTATGGTGCTTTTTCATGCTCTTGACCCTGAGTATAACCTCTTGTCGCAAGTCTATGTACTTGTCTGTGAGTTCCCGGTCTTAGATGCGGCTTCCAAGAGTGCTAAAACATCTAAGCGATTCCTTTGACGGGCCTCATCAAAGGCATTCGCGCCGTTGTTGTCCGTTTGATAAATATCGGCCCCATTGTCCAGCAATAGGCGGATGATATCCACGGACGCGTAGTTGTAGACAGCCAAAGTCAATGGGGTGCAGCCGCAGTCATCCTGAACGTTAATCCTTGCTCCATAATTTAAGAGCAGCTCGACCATTTCTTTTTGATCATCCGCCGAAGCATGAGTTAGAGGTGTCCTGCCATCTCCTGCGACATTATCGATGTATCCACCTCTGTTAAGAAGCAGACGTACGATGGCCAATTGATTCTGGCGAACAGCAAGGTGTAGAACACTAAAGCCTTGCCTGTCTTGTCGGTCGATCTTTGCTCCTCGGTCAAGGAGCAAGCGAGTAATGCGCTCATCCCCTTGACCGGCAGATATACCAAGTGGGGTTATACCGCTGGACTTTATGCCCAGGTCTGCATCCGCTCCGTTGTCAAGCAGTCGCCGTGTTGCCTCAAATTCTTGGTTTGCGACAAGCTCATACAAGGCCGTGTATCCTTCGTATTCCTGATTGTTGATGTTTGCACCGCGCCGGATGAGTGCTTGGATCGCTGAGTCTGCTCCGCATCTTGCCGCAAATACGAAGGCCTTCTGTGCCATTGCGCCGTAGTGTTGGCCAACCTCAGCCCACTTGACTAAAAGCCACTGACAGATAGCAAGTTGCCCGTTTTGAACGACCCATTCAAGACAGAGTTGGTCCTCAGGCCCAGGGACTTGCCTCTCGAACATGATGTCCGCTCCGTGAGTGAGCCATCCTAATACGGTTTGCTCAGCACACTTCTTCTTATTCTGCTCGTCATCGGAGCCTGGCACTGGCAGGCCCAAGTCTGTAAAGTCACTTATGGATTCAATAGATGCCTTCATCGTGTGTCTGTCAGCTTTATTGTTAGAGATGTGCCATGCAATATACCCGAGCTGCTGAGAAAATTGGCTCCACCAAGCCTGCTGGTGATGGGACTCCATCCAGCCCACCGGTCGAACGCTTTTTTTATTGTTGAAATATGTCAATCTGAGATCGTCCTGCAGAAGAGAGAGCAAGACATCTAGACCTTCGCTTCGGACAGTGTCCTCAATATGTAGGATTGCACGCTGACAGAGGTAGCCAAGCTCATAGACAGAACGCTCGAACTCCTGGCCTTCAGAACGCTCACAGAGCCATCGAGCAATGGAAAACGCTTCTGACCAGTTATCATTCGCAATGCACCTCTCAATCTGTGCTCTCACCCTATGCGAGTCCGCAGCAAGCTCTGGTAGAAGTTTCCGAGCTTTTAGGACCGGAACGATGCATAGCAGGGCATCTTCTCTTGAACCAAGCTCTCCGGACTCGAAGCAGGCGACTAACTCGTCGAGGCGACTGCTGTATGAGATATAGCTGTTTTGTGAGCCTGGGCGCACATCCACATCGCCACCAATTGTTTCGAAGTCTTGGAGAACGCTTCTGAGGAAATGGATATAAATGTCCTGAGCAGCCATGGTCTCGAGATTATTCTGTGTTTTCACAACGAGAATTTCCTTGCTTCCAGGGTTTTTGTCTGAATAGAGACCAAAGAGTTCGCTACCAAATGACACGGTCTTGGACGAAACCATCCTGGCTTCCGTATGGCGGTAAATCCACTTATGAAAATAAAGGTCGGTTTCTTCTGCCATAGCCTCAGATTTGGTCAAACCAACAGCACGATCAAGCCCCGTCTGAAGCCATTTCGAATTCGACTTCAGCAGTGACCATGTCCATAGTCCTAGAACTGCCTCGAGCTCGGTCTCATCAACCTTCCATAACAGGGTATCTTCTGATCTATATAGTTTGATGGTGTAGGTTTCCAGCGCAGGATTGAAACCGCTTTTGTTGAGAGACTGACAAGTGAGGATGAGGTCGAAGCTAACGGTATCTTCAGTCAGGTTCTTCCAGCCTGATAATAAATTCATTGTTCTTTCTATCGTGTCCGCCAGTTTTTGAGCTCTCTCCCTGATTGGAAGGCCATCCCAAGCTAAGCTGGACTCTTTATCGGGGTTAGAAGTAAGGCGGGCTAGTTGAGCCCTCGTCGTTATAAGCTTTGTTCCAAGGCCGGGTTTCTGACTTGGAGTTTGTGTTGATGCAGCTGCTGACGAGGTTGTCGATTGAGCTCGAGATCTCTGTGGCGCGCTCGAGACTAAACCAAACGACCTGACTTGTTCCAGATGGAACGCAAAGCAGTCAAGTTCTTGCTCGTTATAGGACACAAGATGGCGCTCTTCCGCCGTTAGGCGGTTCTCGTCCGATCCGGACCTCTTGGTCCGCAGGCAGGCTCTGACGATGGACATTAGGAGAGTAGCGCCCATTTCTGCCAGTACCACAGAGGCATGCAACCCTCGGATCCCGACAAACTGAATGATGAACCCAATAAGGGTAATAATCACAGTAAACACGAGCAATGGCCCTTTGCCGAAGATTCCAGGGCTTCTGACTGATTTAATATACAAGAGGTCTTCAGTCGCCTTGGAATTAGGTCCCTCGCTAACACCCAGAAAAGCTCCGAAAACTTGGTCACCGACATCTTGGCCGCCTGGCTGCAACCAGTAGATCTTGCTGGGCATTGCAGGTCGAATGTAGCATTCGGTGGATGAGCGCTCGATGATGAAGGCGCACAGGAACATACCGATGCAGAGAAAGATAGACCCCAGGGAAAACAGCGGAAAAGCATAGCTTACGACAAGGCTTCCGTCTTTTTTAAACTGTACAGGAAAGAGGTAGACAGTGATTGCAGCGTATACAATGACCCCTGACATAATCTGTCAATATAGGCCACTGGCAATACCAAAGACATGTCACGTCAACTCACCAACTTGCAGACCTAGCCCCAAAACAGCAGCAGCATAGAACCAGCCTTGGCTGCTCTTCTCAATTCCCTTGTTCAAGGACAGATTCGGGATATCGAGCTCGGGCAGGTATTCCTTCTCATCGAGAATCCAAGTTCCTTTGCCCGCCAACCAAGCACCCTCACGAAGGGCATCGCGCAAAGTTCCTATCCGGTAGGAGCGCTCCTTTGTCTGAGGATCTGTCTCCTCCCAGGCAATTACCTCTAGTAGTCGAGGTCTTCCGAATACCCTAGAGATTCCTCCATTGTTAAACATCTCTGCGGTTGTCTCGGACACGCATGACAAGAGTTCATTTTCAGCTTCACCAGGGCCCTCCTGAGCCCGCCCTATGAACGCGCGGAGAGAAGAGTTTCCGCAAACACGAATGACGGAAACCACAGCCGTCAGAATACCCAATGGGGCCACAGAGAAGAGAAAGTTATCTAAGATGCTGGTGGATTCAGATAAGAACTGCTTGCTCAGTCGCTCACCAAAAAGGGATATAAGAGGCGCCTAGAATTTCAATGTTACTCAACTTGCCCCAAAATCTGTGTATAAAAGGCAACGTACCAAATCTGTAGCAAGGTCATCTGCAAAATCATCCCAGCCGGTGGCCAAAGCACCGGGAAGTAATGATAGTATAGTAATAAGCGATAGATACCACCCCATAGTGAGGCACACGGTATGACAGACAGTCTGACAGAAAAGTTTAAGATTTTCCCCCTAAGACATCGGCGGAAAATAGGATATAGCTGAATCAAATACATCTGCTATATTTACCAACATCCCACCCTCCAGGATGGCTGCAGCTCAGCCTTGTCGCCTGTTCACAGCCCCGCGCGGATTCGATCGGAACACCAGCTCATCTTGCATCCCGGCGGTTCGAGCTGTCTTTGAATCGCTGTCCGACAAATCACAGTTGATAACTGAATATAACACTGAATAGCTAAACGCCCTTGTTATGCATAAGGATTGTAGGTCGTCTATGAGTGGACACATCGTTGTGGCGTACCATAATCGTCGGCGCTAACAAGAGTCGATCGTCGTTTCTCATGCCGGGGCGAGGGGAGATTGACTCGCCTTTAGAGGCTTAGCCGTGTAAGACACAGTAAAAGTGAGCGAAACTTAAGCGCCGACAATTAGAAGATCGTAACAATGATCGTACTTAAAGCAGGAATAAGTCGAGGTCTAGAGTGAAATCTTTCACGGCAAAGACTACAGGAGCGGTAAACCCGCGATCAAGGACAGATACGTAACGAGCAACCTCTGTCCGTAGTTGGCAAGACACATCCCAGTTACTTCTATGACTAGAATAATTTCACCATTAACCCAAGTAGTCTGCGACGCGCTATCCCAACTGACCCGAACTCAACGGTTTTGCCGAATAATAATGTAATCAACCACCAACGCCTTTCCCATGAGCAAATGAGGGTGAGAGAAAGAAAATCAAATGACGCCTCTCCGGCCTGCACTTGAATAAGAAATATAAAAAACGAATAGGATTTCGACTGGCCACACATCTAAAAGATGCTGTTGACAATGTTCGAACCGACGGTAGCACCGGCACCGAAAATAGCTAGGTGTGATTGTCAGTAAGAATGATTGTAGATAAGGAGATGTCCACGGCGCATCAATTCGATATGTCAAAGTGCGCGCGCATTGCTTGAAACGTACCGGCATTGCCCATCTTCTTGCCAAACTTCTTGCCCTGCTCCTCAAACTTGGACTTCTTGCCCTCCTCACCCGGGGGCGCCGAGCCACTCTGGCTGACTTCCAGCGGCATGTTTCCATAGTTGGTCGGGGGAGGAGACGAGACGGCCTTGTCATTCAGCACGTTCACGTAGCTCCGAGGGAAGATACCCTCAAGGTTGGTGCGCTCATTACGACCACGCCACCCTATAACAAGCGGTTAGCAAGGGAGGTTGCACACAAAGGGTATCAGCAGCCCTACAGTCGGCATTCATGTGTTCCAAGACTTGAATACGATCGTTTGGCTGGAGAGCCAAGTCTCCGGGATCCGTCGGAGTGTAGGCATAGAGCGCCGAAGCGATAGACAGTACCGGTGGAGCTTGGGGATAAGCAGGTGGCGGAACAGGCGGGGTTGAGTACTGTTGCGGAGGAGGCTGCTGATAAGTGGCCTTCTCGTTCAAGGTAGTGTTTGCAAACTGGTTCGTAGGAGGAGAGTACGGGGTAGGGGGCTGCTGGGCGACGACAGGTGGTTGTTGCACTGGTGGCTGCTGCCGAGGCACGGGGGCTCTGCTGCGTTCATCGTCCCTCGGTAGTTGCGATAGAATGGATGAGAGCTGTTGCGGAGTAATGACTGATGCATCTGCGAGAAACTCAAGTTCCTAGTGGATCGAAGGATGTCAGCAAGGTGCATCATTGAAGATCAGCTCGAGCAACTCCGTTTACTGAGTGATGCTGACAGGGGAGGGCATCCTACCGATCGGACGTTGCGGAGCGACCGGTTGGTCATAGCCGAGAAGAAGTCGGACTGGGACGCCATGCTCATGAGGTGGATAGAAAGTAAAAACACACAACAAGAAGGTATCAAGCTTTGCAGATATGCAGATCAAACGAAGACAGTGAAAGACAGGGTTGAAAGAATGAGACAGAGAGACGGATGGGATGGAGGGAGTGGACGGAGGCAATCGATAATGAATGAATAATAATGTAACGGCATGGCAGGCCCGCCAGTTGGTTCTCCTTCTACTTGCTAGTCAGTTTGGTACCTGAGGCCCCCAGTTCCGGGGGTGGGTTGCCTGCCGCTAATTGGCTCCGAGAATTTAGTCGGTCTTGTCATTTCAGGCATCACCATATCACAGGCGCCCTTCTGAGACATTGGTCCCTGGATGGGTTTCGCTTGAAGAATCCACATTGTCTTGTTTTTCAGAGTGTGATCGGAGCTTATACTAACACTGCATGTCTGGTGTATCTAACAGCAAGCAGAGAAATTCGACCCTTACGAATCATTGCCACTGACATTCTCCGGCTATCCGGGAGTATTACCTAGGAATGAACAAGACACCTGTCGCTAACTACAACACTTGGAGACCCTACTCCTAATAAGGGGTGGCTCATTTAAGTGGGACTCGAAATTTTTAGCTTGTTTATATTGACATATAGTCGTACTCGTATGTGCTTGGTGTCAAGGTACCCAAACTGCATTGCTGATTCTCAGAATGTCTCTTTACGAAATATACTGTGCTCTACGAGACTGGAATGGAGTTTTCATATTATTCCGTTTTGAATTATAAGCACATGTACCCAAGTGTCTACTGAACGTAAAGGCCGTTCTCATGACGCTCGGTCGCCTTCGATAAACAAAGCAGCTTGAATACCAACTAAACCGATGCTGGCAGCGCTGCAGCAAGAAACTGAATAATAAAAGACGGAAATCAAAATAAGCAAGGCATAATATCCTTCAAAAACCCTCTTCCTCTCTTCTTAATTGTCCCCAACGTATGAGCTGCGAAAGTATCCCGCAATCTTCGATGCCAGTTCGGGATCAAGGGCTTTGAGGCGTGAGTCTGGTCGGTAGAATCCTCGATAACGCATGCAGCAACCACATTCGGCGGTACAGTGGCCATGAAATCCAATCATTTCCTTCTGATCACCCTCAGGCAAGAGATAGTGACGGAGAGGTCTCTCACAGCATCTACATCTGCGACCGCAACAGCCACCAAGCGAGGCGCACATGAGCTTGTCCTCCTCCCATGCCAAAGTTTGGCCCTCTTCATTTCTGTGATGCTGAAGGAAGTCAAATTCATCGATGATAGGACCAGATGGCTTGTCAAGGGTCAACGCTTTCCATGCCTTCTGGCACCGGTAGTAATGCTCTTCTGCAAGGGAGACTTGACGTTTCGGATCCGAGGGCCCCGGGACATGCTGGAAGGGATTTTCTGGCTCAATACTATGTCTGTATCTGACCCTTTCCAGGCAGTTGATTCGCTGCAGGAGGGCGAACTCGAGTTCCTCGTTCTCCTTGTAGCGCTTGATCCAGTCTTTCTGGATGTTGCACTTGCTTGGCCTGTGCTTTTCATATAGTCTTGCCCTATCGTAGAGACGGCGTCTGAGATTATAGCGTTCGTCTTTGAGCACGCGGAGCCAGATAGGCCTGAGTATTTCTGAAATTAGATCAAAGGGTCTGTGGATGGACTGTCTCAGTATCAGCGACGCATGTGACTCGTGAGTCGGAGAGAGCTTGTGGGTTGTCATCTTGATGGCGTCCTCTGCTTTTCGTTGCTCTTCGTTGATTGTGCTTCTAAGGTTAACTCTAGACTCGAGAGAATTTTCTGCCGGACACTGTTGTTTACGTATACTGACGTAGTAGATACAGCGTCAGGATGAGAACATTTTGTGTGCTCGACCACGGAATCATGCTTCATTACTATACTGGTTAGGGTAAAGAAGGATGGGGGTGTTCATGTCCTCACAGACCATCTATATCAACAAACGTCAATAGAACTGGGCATATTGATGTGGATGAGAGTACCAGTCAAGAATACTGTAGTTGCAAATACCTCGCCTCACCTCAAATCTATACTCATTACTATACAGGACATTATTCTACTTCCCGATATAGTAATACGCCATGGAAGCAGATCCCAGCCAAACAACACCGGCCCAAGCAAAGATATTTCTAATCAGCACTAAGCACAAAACTAACAACTCACACCCTAATCAATAATCCCAGACAAGCGACATACTCTGACTCACCAAAAACAATTACCGAAGTAAAGCAAAGCAATGCAAGGCTCAGCCCAGAACCTCAGCCAACAATCGGGCAACGTACGGGGAAAGATTGGCCGATCCATGATGTCAGCAACCCTAACCCAAAGTAGACTAGCGCATACCGCCCCTCTGACTCCGCCATCCCAGGGCTCGAGAAGCTTCCGTGGCGTCGATATAAATTCAGCGGGCCTTGAACATCCCTCCTTACGACACACCTCACGCGATCGCACTTGACACTCACACACCGCCACCCTCACATCCTCCACCCACACCACACCCCTCAGTCAATCCACCATCTCCTCTAGAATCTCCATCTTATCACCAACTTTGCATCTATCTTCAAAATGAGCGACTGGGACTCTGTTACGCGCATTGGAGCCAGACACACTGGTGGCCCTGCCACCCGCGAGACCGTCGTCAAGGGTAAGAGCGCCTTGAACGCCGCCCAGCGCCAGGGTCTCGTTATCGGCACCGAGAAGAAGTATGCTACTGGTAACGCTGTAAGTATACCACCTAATTTGCCCCTCGATTGGGTACAAGAAGCAGTGAAAGAGGGGTAGCCAGGCTAACACAGAAATAACAGGCCGGACGCTCCGGTGCCCCCGAAGGTCAGCACCTGACCAAGGTCGACCGCAGCGACGATATCGTTAAGCCCAAGACCGTTGGCTACCAGGTGGCGGATGCGATCAAGAAGCGCCGCAACGAGGAAGGCTACAAGATGACTCAGAAGGAACTCGCCACTAAGTGCAACACCACCATCACTGTTGTTCAGGACTTCGAGCGCGGTACTGCTACTCCGGACCAGAAGGTCCTCAGCGCCATGGAGCGCGTGCTGAACGTCAAGCTGAGGGGTACGGGCATCGGACAGGAGAAGTTCCCTAAGAAGAAGTAAATTGATCGGGGGTGAGCCCGCGGCTTTTTCTTGGGGGAATGGAGAGTGAAAATTTGTTGATTGATTGAACTTTGCCTTTTTTCATCACCCTTTTTTACTCTTTCGACGGCTTTTTCTTACGGTTTTTATTTGGTCATGCCCCGGGTTTACTTACGACCTTTTCTTTTTCGAGAGACTTTTTCGGATGTTACGTTATGAATGAGATCCCATGATTCTTTACTTCTTTATCCCCCCATTCCCCGCTGTTTGTGGTTCTGCTGGTCGGAAGAGCGCTGGCCTGGTATTTATATTATGAGGGGAGTGTGATATGTGATCTTTGGGGAAGATGAAAAGAGAAAGAAAAGATCATACATATTGATAGAAATGTGCATTTTGCGGGTATTCGTGTCTCTAGAGAGTATCTTTTGAGTACTCGAAAATAGAACATTGAGTTGCGCGTTGAGCACGGATCAATAGTCTTGCAATAGACAAAAACAAGTGGCGAAGATATTACAAAGTCGCCCGGAATTGATTTCCATAATTCCATCTATACTTATTCGACGAATGACATCCAGTACTGACTCAGTTAGTATGTGACTAGCCTGAAACGAAGTGAGGAATGAAACAAACAATTGTAGTAAACAAACCTACGCAAAACAGATCAGAATCCCTTACGCATTCTGGATCTTCACATTTCTGTTGTAAAAGTTATAAATCTTGCTAAAACCTGCCAGTCGAATTTGACTTTCACTATCAACTAGCTCTACTAAAACTTGGAACTAAACCTCCCTCAGATTGAACTCTTATCTTACTATCATCCTTTGACATGCGCTTTGCATTTGTCTTCGATGCCATCGGCACCTTCGTCTTGCTTCCTCTCAGCCAATGTCGGCCGCTTGGTCCTAGCTGCAGTCAACTACAAGGGGTTGACTCCAAGCTTGACAGCCTCCAAGACGCTGCCGATCAGGTTCACCCCAATGACGGAAACATCTTTGGCAATGCGAGACTAGATGGCATGCGCAACTCTATCGAATCCTCGAGTGATTTGATACACCAAAAGGAAGATGAGGAATGCGACAACAACTCTGACAAGTCCGACGATTTACTTGATTCTACTCTGGTATGTTGCATGCATCTTTTGATATGTATGTATTCAGTCCACTGACATCACATCCTCTAGAGCACCCTGTCGGTAAGTAGGAGGGCACACTTGAAGTCTTCTTCGCTGGGTTGAAAAGCGTTCTGTATTAACTAACACTTCGACCCGATTTCAGGGATTGTAGGCTGTGAGTAAACCATATTAAACCCATTACTGTTTCGATTTTAGGCTGACTATGTTTTTTGATTTCCAGGGCTAAAGTTGGCATTGGTAGACAAGCAATTGTCCAAGATTTGCTTTCTGCTCTCTCGGTACCGTTATATGTTCTATCAAGATATATGGTGAACTGACATATCCTATAGTTTTGTTGGTAGGTTTGCTTGAAGTTTTGGCTGGGACGAGCAGTACTAGTACTACTCTTGTCGTGTTCATCTTTCAGGGCCTGTTGCGTATGGGTGAACAAGAGTAGTATTCGATGTACCAGGTTTGGCATTCACAGTTTTTGTGAAACCTTCAACCTCGTTGTCGAGCTTCTACTTTGTATCTCAAGATAGGGCATCATGCCCCCTAATTGCGTTTCTGTTCAATTCTCCAATGTCAGTCCTTCCTAAGGTCCTTCCTAGGTATCAACTATTGCGTTCTCACGATAGTTAGTCATTGTATCAGAGGCACGATAATGCTACACGGCCAGGGTTCGACGGTCTTAGCCTTGTTGTAGGTAGTTCAAATGTTGATGTGATGGCTCTTGACCTCAAACGACGCGGGCGACGTCATGAGTACCCGCCACTGATACTATATTGAACTTGAAAGAGAAAAATGAAGCAATGTAGTTTCTTTTATTAGGACACAAGAAAGCGACCAGAAAAGCAAATGGTACCAACTCCGACTTTATCATGGTTAAGAAATGATAGAAAAAGAACTCATGCCCTGAATCGCCCCGAGGTCTCTTTCTCGTACCGCCGTGCTGCCTGTCCTTGCTACTTTTGGTTTCTTTTGTAGTAAGTAAAGGAGAAAAATGATATCATCTTCGCCTCATGAACACATACACACACGATGCGTGTTTATAAAAACTGGTAGGTAGGTAAGATAAGGGGGAGGAAAACTAAAAAACTCTTTGCAAAACTTTCGTCACACACTTCACTTCCTCAGCTGCTCGCGCTCGACCTCGTACATGAAGTCGAAGTAGGGCTTGTCGAAGTGGTGCACACGGACGTAACCGTCCTCACCACCAGAGGCGTAGGCAGTACCGGCGGGGTGGATGTGAACAGTGTTGAGGGGACCGAAGTGACCGCGGACACGGCCGATCTCGTCCTCGAAGACCTTGTGGTAGAAACGAGCCTCGAACTTACCCTGACGGGCAGAGGTCGTGGTGACATCCATGGCGGCCTGACCACCTCCCAGGATCACGTAGTCCTTCTTGGGCGTAATGGTGGCGCTGTTCAGGGGAGTGTCGGCAACGTAGGTTTTGAGGATGGCGAGGTTACGAGAAGACATGAGCTGGTTGGGGTTAGCATTTATCGTCGTTTGATATACAAAGTAGCAGGTTATGTACCTTGGCGGACTTGTCCTTGGAGGCAGTGATGAAGTAGGTGCGGTCGGGAGAGAACTGGATGTCGTTGATCTGGTGGTCGAACTCGTGGGCCTGGACGTTCTCCAGCTGCTCACCGGTCTATCATTTCAATTAGCATCTAACCCCCTCAACAAATGGCAAAAATAAAAGGTATTCTCCGCACCTTTCCATCGTACTGGCTGACACTGCCGTCTTCGTGACCAGCAATGATGTACTTGCCCATGTAACTCCAGCCGGCAACCGTTGCCTTGCTCTCTGTGCAGGTGATGCGCAAGCTAGGCTCCTCAGCCTGCTCCGTCAAGTTCTCGCCGTAGTTGATGTCCAACACCGCAATGGTACCCAAGAAACCCATACGCTTCTCCGTCACAGCCAAGAGTCTGCTTCCATCGGGGGTGAACTCGACCCGCTTGACGGCCGTAGGGAAGTCCCACACCTTGATGCACTCGCCGGTCTTCACGTTCCATAGTCGCACGGTGTTGTCTGCCGAACCGGTTGCCAGAATCTGAGTGTTTGGGCTCACATCGACCGTCCAGATAGCACCCTGGTGTCCGTTGTAGGTACCGAGTCGCTCGCCGTTGGCCGACCACCAGGCGCACACAATTTTATCCTTAGCCACGGAGAAGATAAGATCGCCATCGCGGTTGAACTTGATTTGGTTCAGGGACCGTTCCTATTAAGCAAAATATCTATCAGCCACTCGTCCATGTTTCCTATCATTTCCCAAATTTTATATCATTTTCCAAGCTTCTGGGGGGCGACTATCATCGCGTTCGGGGGTGGGTATAGGCGAAACGCACATGGCCGGAGAGCAAAATAGGCCGCATTTTGGGCCGATCAAGCTGTGAATCTGGGTAAAGCGACGGAGGGGAAGAAGATGCTGAATCAGAGGTATATATCCTCTGTAACCGGAGTCGACTAAGACCTGTGAGATGAGGCGGAAATCCTTGCGGGGTGCTGGCGGGCTCACGTTGTCGGCGTCGTCAGACTAGTTTGAATTTCATCGCACAGTCCGGGCTTGCCCGCCAAGACTTTCCTGTTCGAGCCTGTTCTGTATGAAACGCTTCATACCGGATACGTGGTTCTTCCGTTGCGATGATACACATCATGTGATTTGACCAAGCCCTGAAGATTTCCCTACCAATTGGGACCTGGAAGACGTGATGGGCTGACCGCCAACTATGCGCTATACCCAATGCAAACATATGGCGTTCCGAAAGTCCGAAGCATCTGAAAGTTGCGGCTCGCGGGAAACTTTGTCTTGTGAAAAAACAGCAGAAAAATGGTAAAAGGAGGAGGCATTGAGAGTCGCAGAAAGGACAATTTCACCCACTAGAACTATAGAATATAAACAGATCACAAAGATCAATTGGGAGCGCTGCAGACACTGAAGACATTCAGTGTTGTTTGGAAGCTAATGATTTCAATTATTCAACGATATTACTCGCGTTTGCGTTGATCGACCTTTTCCCTATCTCCATCTGACCCGGCCGAGGAAAGCTGGTTGGCACTGGGCCAACCGACGAAGCAAATTAGATGCCTTTCCCCCCCGCTCGTTCGGCGACACTACCCCGCTGTGCTGTCAACGCGAAGCATTCTTATACCCTTTCCCCCAGTCACCGTTTTTACCCACTACTTCCACCCTCTGTTCGACGCCAATTTTCTTCTGCACGCGGGGTTACGTCTCGTATCCGCTTTTCGCCGTTATCTGCCAGACCTGGCGTGCTAGCTTGCGAGTGGCTTGGTTGCGCACCGTCTTGTCATCATCGTCCATTCTCCGGCACCAGGACAGCCATGACGGCCACCAACATTAACGGCACCCAGATTGCCAAGAACATCCGGGCAGGGTTGAAAGAGGAGATCCAGAAGATCCAGGAATCGAACCCCCGCTTCAAGCCTAATTTGGTGATCTACCAGGGTGCGTCTTGCTGTCACAGAAATCTGCCCCGCGGTCGAGAAATAAGCTGACAGTGCAAAATGAACAGTGGGAAGCAGATCGGACTCGAGTAAGTAGTAGGCATCGTGTTGGTGGGAAGGTTGTATAGACTAATTCATGGTTCAGGCACCTATGTGCGCATGAAATTGAAGGCCGCAGAGGAGGTGCGTCACCACTCATGATTACCATCTTTCCATCTACTCAGTGCTGACTCGCTCCGAACAGGCCGGTATCATCTGCAAGATCATCAACTTCCCCGAAGACGTCACGCAGGCCGAGGTCCTCCAGGACATCACCAAGTCCAACAATGACCCCTCAATCCACGGCATTCTCGTCCAGCTGCCCCTCCCCGAACACCTGTCTGAACACACCATCACCTCTGCTGTCGCCGATGAGAAGGATGTCGATGGATTCGGTGCGATCAACATTGGTGAGCTGGCCAAGAGGGGCGGTCGTCCCCTCTTCGTCCCATGCACCCCGAAAGCTGTGATGAAGCTTTTGGCGGAGGCCGGCGTCGACCCCTCCGGAAAGCAAGCCGTGGTTCTTGGCCGCAGTGACATTGTCGGAAGCCCGGTCAGCTACTTGTTGAAGAATGCTCACGCCACCGTGACCCTCTGCCACTCGAAGACTCCCGACATTGCACGCATCGTCAAGACCGCCGATATCGTCGTTGCTGCAATTGGACAGACCGAATTTGTCAAGGGTGATTGGTTGAAGCCTGGCGCCGTCGTTATCGATGTTGGTATCAACTACAAGCCCGATGCCACCAAGAAGTCTGGTTCCCGACTTGTTGGTGATGTTGAATTCGAGTCTGCCGCTCAGGTCGCTTCGCAGATCACCCCGGTCCCCGGTGGTGTTGGTCCCATGACCGTGGCTATGTTGATGGAGAACGTTGTCTCCGCAGCCAAGGCGTACTTCGAAAAACAAAGAGACAGACGCATCACTCCCCTCCCGATCAAGCTGGCCAGCCCCGTTCCCTCCGACATTGCTATCTCGCGTGCGCAATACCCTAAGCAGATTACGGACCTCGCCTCGGAAATTGGCATTGAGCCTCACGAGCTCGACCCCTACGGCCACACCAAGGCTAAGGTCAGTCTCGGTGTGCTCGACCGTCTGTCGCACCGTCGCAACGGTAGATACATTCTGGTCTGTGGTATCACCCCTACCCCTCTCGGTGAGGGCAAGTCCACAACTACGCTCGGTCTCTCGCAGGCTCTTGGTGCACACCTCGGCCGCATTGTGTTCGCCAATGTGCGCCAGCCTAGTCAGGGCCCTACGTTTGGCATCAAGGGTGGAGCTGCTGGTGGAGGATACAGTCAGGTTATTCCTATGGATGAATTCAACATGCACTTGACTGGCGATATCCATGCTATCACCGCCGCCAACAACCTTCTCGCTGCCGCCATTGAGACTCGCATGTTCCACGAATCCACTCAGAAGGATGCTGCTCTCTACAAGCGTCTCGTCCCCGCCAAGAAGGGCGAGCGCAAGTTCCAGCCCATCATGTTCCGCAGACTGAAGAAGCTGGGTATTACCAAGACCAACCCCGACGACCTTACCGAGGACGAGGTTCGCCGGTTTGCTCGCCTTGACATCGACCCGGAGACTATCACTTGGCGCCGCGTTCTGGATGTTAACGATCGTCACCTCCGCGGTATCACTGTGGGACAGGCTCCCACGGAGCGAGGCCACACTCGTGAGACTGGCTTCGATATCTCGGTTGCCAGTGAATGTATGGCTATCCTGGCCCTGAGCAACAGCCTGGAGGACATGCGTGAGCGTCTTGGACGCATGGTTGTTGCTACGTCGAAGAACGGCGACCCTGTCACCTGTGACGATATTGGTGCGGGCGGAGCGCTTGCTGCGTTGATGAAGGATGCCATCAAGCCCAACCTGATGCAGAGCTTGGAGGGTACGCCTGTCCTGGTCCACGCCGGTCCTTTTGCCAACATCAGTATCGGTGCAAGCTCGGTGATTGCCGACAAACTGGCTCTGAAGCTCGCGGGTACGGAGCCCGATGAGGATCACGAGTCCAAGA